CTTGAGAACTTTTAAGAGGCCTCCTTAACTAAGTACATTTTGTGGATTTTCTACATCTGATTCTTAAACCAAAATTTTATGGGCATTGTGCTCATTGTCACATATCCCCATCCAATAACTGGATGATTTAATGTCACCCTCTGATGACAAACTCCTTTCAGCAGCCCTATGTGGGATCCTCCCCACCCCAATCTTGGAGCAGCCCATCTAGGAGGAACTAGACCTTCTTCCTCCTTGAGGCTCTGGGGAAGATCCTATCCCTCCCCCCTACCCCTGCTGTGACATTTCCCAACTGCTGAGATGTCCTTTTAACTCTGTGCTGCCTGCCTGCTGATGGCAGCTGTGCTTGTAAACCAAGGGACAAAGTTACAGAACAATGAACCCAGTTTCTTATGTTGCAACAGCAGTATTACAAGTCAATGATCCTCAGTCATCTCCTGATAATGCTGCTCTTACTCTTTCCCCTGTCACCACAGAGGAATGCGGAGATGTTCCTCCAACCTCACCCTTGTTTTTCTTTGCTTATCAGCTCACCTAGGACACCCATCCACTTTTTCTCCTACGAGGGACAGGACCCAGATGCAATGGTGTGCAAGGAGACAGAGGGCCACAGCTGGTAGGAAGTCCAGCCTCTTTGCGTGGCTCCTTGGTTCCATGTCATCCTCCCATCACCAGGGAGGATGAGAACTCCCCTGGAGCAGGAGTGGCAGCCTTTCTGCCAGAGAAGTTCCCCAGGAGCTCACCTGGTCAGTTGTGTCCTCCATCTACTGCTCTCTGCTCTTCAGGGGATAGTTCTGTGACTCAAAATGGGAAAACCACTTATCAAAAAATCCAAGTAGGTGGAAACAGCCCAAATGCCCATCAACTGGAGACTGGATAAAGAAAATGTGGCTTTTTTATAAAATGGAGTACTACTCAGCCATAAAAAATGAGAAATTAGAGACATTTATAGCTAAATGAATGCACATTGAGGCAATACTCTTAAGTGAAATCAATAGGACACACATGTGTAAATACTGAATAGTTTCTCTGGTGTGAGAAACTGAAAGTGTAAATAAGGACTAAATGTATAATAGGTCATGTGAAATAGGAAGAAAAGGGGCAAAGGGGAAGGACATGTGAGGGCTAGGGGAAAGGAAAGAAGGGAATGGGATTAATATGAGAAAATGGAAAAATAGGAACAAAATCTTTGTAAATAGGGAGGAATGGAGGGGTTGAAGGGAGGGCTGGGCAAGGGTGAAAAATAAGAACCAAGAGAGACTATGTAAAGGTGCAAATTTCCAATGATGAATGTCATTATATTGTATACCTAAAATGTACCAGTGATTAGAATGAATAATTGATAATGTAAAATAGGAAGAAAAGGTCCAAAGGGGTAGGGGTAGTGGGAGGGGCAGGGGAAAGGAAAGAAGGGAAAAGAAAAATGATGAGAAATGGAAAAAATGGAAATAAAGTCTTTGTAAATAGGGAAGGGTGGAGGGCGTGAAGGGAGGGCTAGGAATGGGGAAAAAATAAGAACCAAGATGCATTATGTAAAGGTACAATTCCCAATGAGAAATGTAATTGTGTTGTGGACCTACAATGTACCAATAAAAGAATTTAATACAAAAAAAAAAAATTCAAGTAGGGCCGGGGATTTAGCTCAGTGGTTCTGCCGCCTGCCTCGAAAGTGCAAGGACCCGAGTTCGATCTCCGGTACCAAAAAAAAAAAAAATCCAAGTAAACAAAAAATCGGATAGTTCTACTCAGGAGATGCTGTAGAGGTGTGAAGGATGATGCAAAGATTTAGTATGAAGATGGCAAATCCTCCAAGTTTGCCAAGTTACTACGCGCTGCTGTTTTCATGAGTCCTGTTTATTTCAATTACAACTTGGGAAAAATGGGATTTTAGTTTCTTCCAGGCAAGACTATTTTACACTCTACATGGGAAATAAAACCACAAAAAACATGGCTCAAGCCACCCTGCCAGCCCTGGCTGGACCACATTGACTATCACTTCCACTCTACCTAGACTCTTAAGATAGCACATGGAGGCTCATTTTCAACTTCTGCCAGGAATGTACCCAAACTTCATTGCCATGGACATGGACCCACATGGACAAGCCAGGGCCAGGCTGTACTGGGTGGGCAAGGGTTCAAAGGAGAGCCCCATGACTTAAGAGTCATTTTGAGCTATGGTCCTCAAAATGTGGTCTTGGGCTCAGCAGCGTGAGCATCCTTTGAATTTATCCATCCTTCGGCCCCACCCAATCCTACTAAATCACAGGCTCAGTGGGTGGGGCAGCAACTGTGAGACAGTCGCTCACCGAGCTAAGCCTGGAGTGTGCTCAAGTTTGAAAGCCCCTGGCTTAGTGCACCATCAGTCTGCAAGAACCCAGCATTAGAAGATCTGTCCTCAGTTGCTGGCTGGGATGAAGAGCGCTTCCTAAAGGCCACATGCCAAAGACCCCCTTCCAGCTTAGACAGAAATCCCAGGCTCCCTGCACTCAGACTGTTCTTTGGTTGACCCAAGAGCTCCCAGGAAGAGGAAAAAACTGTGGAAGGACTTTTATATGGCCAGGAATTAAGCACTTTCACAGCTAATTCATCATTTTAAACACAGGCAGGAAGTGGACTTGGAAAAACTCATCAGGAACATAGCCAAGTTTCAAGGCTGAGATCTGGAAGACAAACATAGGATAAAGGGTCCTTCACTAAAGAAATGAATTTCTCAAAGAACCCAGAGGCCTTGGCAGCTGGAGATAGGAGCTTGCTTCCTAGAATTTGACCTTCAGATCTGATTTTCAGAGTCAAATACAGTAGGTGGCAAGTGGCAGAGCAAAATCTGTGGTTTTCCAGGACCAAAGTGTGAGATGTAATCTTGCTACATTTTGGATAATGGAGTTGGAGTTGGGGGTGGGGAGCTGATGGGAGGAGAGAACAAACCCTCAGTGAAAGTGTCCCCAGCTGTACAGTGGCTCTCCCTCCTGGGGCTCCTTCCAGCTGTGAGAAACTCTCTGCCTTCTGAGACCTCACCAACCAGTCTGGCCCAGGAAGGAATCCCAGGCTCTCTCCACTGCCCACTCCAAGCACACAGAGACAATACTTTAAGGAAGGTCAGCAGACCACCGCCTGTCTCTGTGTGGCTCACAAGATTGATTTTCATTTTTATTTTTTGTTTTTGTTTTTTTGAGACAGGGTCTTGCTATGTAGCCCAGGCTGGCCTCAAACTCGAGGTGATCCTCCTGCCTCAGCCTCCTGAGTGCTGGAATTATAGGCATGTGCCACCATGCCTGGCTCTGATTTTCATTTTTATTTTTTATTTTTTGGTACCAGGGATCGAACTTGGGTCTTTTCGCTTGCAAGGCAGGTGGTGGAACCACTGAGCTAAATCCCCAGCCCCAGTGATTTTCATTTTTAAATGATAGAAACTTTAAAGACTTTTGCAGTACAGGAAAATTACACAAAATCTGACCCTCGGTGCCTATGAAGTTTTGTTAGAGCAGCTCCACCCCTGTGTTTGCACATGGTCTGTCCCTGCTTCCACACTGCAGGGACAGAGCTGGGGCGCACAGGAATCTCGGGGCCAGCCAAGCCCACAACACCTATGACCTTTTCCAGAAGACGCTGCTGACCCCGGCTTTAAGTAGGGTAGCAGTTCAGATCCCAACCCAATTTTTGTTCCAGTTACACAGCGCTCAAGTCAGCAGCCCAAAGCTCAGGTTTTTCTAGGAATTCTTTCTTGCTCTTTTGCCTCATTTGTCAAAGCATTCCAAGTGTCACCTTTGGTCACTGGGCATCTGAACATAAACTGTGGCTACTCATATGCTCTGCCCATCTCAGTTGCAATAAAAAAAAATTGCTCAAGGACCTATTTGCAAACTAGAAAGCGTCTATTTATTTGGAACTATGCTTCCAAAGCCAGCTTGGTATTCATTTGTCAGTAAATGGGCTGCTGGCTTAGACTTCCATCCAATTTGAGCTGTTAGAAGTGCAGGACTCTAACTGAACACAGATACTTCTCAGGTATTACTATCTGAAGTCCAACAGAAATACTTCAAAGCAGCTGTCAGGAAGGTCGCACACAGTGACAAGCAAGAGATGCTGAGGGGCAGGACCGGGAGCTCCAGCTGGCGAGCTCCTGCAAAGCCAAGTTGGTTCACAACTCTGACGGCCTCCACCCAAGCCAGTGCTTGCAGCATCTTTCTGGAACAAGCACACTCAGCCACAGTGAACCTCCACTACTCAGGCTTCTACTTCCTTGGTGCGGGAGGAAGGGAGACTCCAAAGCTAACTTTACTAGGGCAAGAACAGGGTAGCAAGGGGGGCCAGGCAGGCCAGGCTGAGTCCCTCCTGTCACTCTGAGGCCACACTGCTGGAAAGGCAGGCGTCTGGCTCATCCAGGGCCTGACATCCAGAGAGCCCTGGACCCAGAACCCCCGTCTTTACCGGAGAAGAGGCTGGGCTGACCCGTCCTCCTGGTGCGCTGCTGTTGCCCGTCCTGCAGCAGCACAGGAGGGAGCCAAGTGGCTTCCTAGTCTTTTTGCTGCTCCATTTCTCCGAAACGGGTCGGGCTGGCCCGGCAGTCACCAGCAACGTGCCTGCTGCCATCACCCGCCTGGCTCAGCCCAACTTCAAGGGCACAGCGGCGGTAGGTGGCAAAAGGAGAGGGGGAGAGTTCCCAACAGGACGGCAGCTCAAGGTTCCTCCTCAAAGCCTCCGAGCTGGGGCGCCTCGGAGCGCTGGCCTCCCCACCGCAGAAGCAGGGTGACGACCAGGGCGGGACAACACGCACTCAACCCCGGGCCCCGCTGACATCCAAGTGGCCCTGGGTCCTCAGCCGCAGTGCCGGCCCCGTCCCGCCACCAGTGGCTCAGGGACCACGGGGACCAGAGACCGCAGAAACCACGGACCGCGACCCGGCCCGCCGTGGCGCCCCGACGGCACCCCACAGTCCGCGCCAAGCCTGGGGACAGACGAGTCCCGCTCCCTCCCCGGCGACCCCCGCCCGGCGCACTTACCCATGGCGGCGGCTCTGAGGGCTCAGGGCGAACGCGAGGAGTCGGCCAGCTGCTCTGACTTTGTTTCCAGGCCCTGCCCAGCGAGCTGCCCGAGAGAGCCGGAGGTGTGCGAGGCGGGGCTGGCCAGCTCCACCCTCGGAGGTGGCCTAGGCCGGGAGCAGAGATCCTTGCCGCTGGAGCCTCCGAAGGAGCCTGGTGCCCCGCGGGCCTGGGGAGGTGGGCGGGATCTGGGGCTGTCGCTAGCCACCTGGGGGCTTGTTAAACTCCAGATCGCCAGGCCCTGCCCCGGAATCGCTGCTCAGGGGATAACGCCGGGGCTGAGAATCTGCTTTTAATACATCTAAGGCTGCTGCAGGATGCTGGGCCTGGGCCACTATTTGGAAGCCGCTGTACAGGGTTACCTGGTGTGGGGAAGCAAAGGTGGGCTGCGCAAGGCCAGCTCTGGGCGTGTGAGTTGTCTCTATGTGCATTTATGGGTGCGAGTTGTCTTTGTGCATGTGTGCATGTGTATGTGTGCGGCTTCACCTGGAGTTGGAACTACTGAAAACGTTTCTGGATGAGTCTTTTTCCTTTAAGAAAGATTAATAAAAATAAAAATAACCATCTCCACATCGGTTTTTGTTTTCTTGTCTGACTTGAGGTTTGTGTTGTGCAAACACAGGGAGAACCGTTGAAAAGGAAAATGAAGGTGTCCATTGTGTTTTTTAAAATGGGGGTGAAATAAATGTACTTACCATAAAGTTTACCATCTCAGCTCTTAAGTGTATGTTAAGAGGATTAAGTACATCGGTAGTGTTGTGCAGCTATCACCCCTGTCTCCAGAACGTTTTCATCTTCCCTAACTTCAAGCTCTGTCCCTATTCCTGTCCATCTCCCTCCCCCAGCCCGGCAGCCACCTCTCTGCCTGCCCTCTCTGTGAACTTGACTCTTGGAGGTGCCTCCTGTATGACATGGTGTAGTCTGTCCTTTTGTGACTGGGTCTGTTCGCTTGGTATCGCGTCCTCCAGGCTCATCCACACCGCAGCAGGGTCAACCCCCTTCCTGTGTGGGCCGAAGAGCACCCACGCGTGAGTATACAGCGGCTCTTTGTTAACCCGCTCACCTGTGCCCAGTATCGCCTGAGCTCTAGGAGCTCCCGCTGCACAGGTGAGAGATGTGTTTGGGGAGGGATAGAGGCAGCCCCTCCCCACAGGCCTGCACCTGCCCCACTTTCCTCACAGAGCTGGGGAGGAGGAAACTTCCCACCCTTGCTCACCTGGTGCACACAGGGTAGCAGCTGATGCTGCCTAAGGACTGGAGGCGGCAGGTGCCAGGAAGGGCTACTCACTCTGGCAGTGTGCTCCCCTAGGCACCTGCCTTCAGCCAGGCTGGGCAAGAGGGGGCGAAGCTCCTGTGGATCGCTTTTCTGTGTGGCCTGGAGGGCTGGGGATGTAGTTCAGTGGTGCCATGCTTGCCTGGCAAGCACAAGGTCCAGAGTTAGATCCCCAGTGCCCCCCCATTTCTCTGTGGGCTGGAACTTATGTTGTTGTTGAGCTCCTGAACCTTGGGATCCCGGCCCCTGTAGGACCACTCTTGTTCTAGAGAGCGGTTCTCAAAGCTGCAGCAGCAGCAGCCTCTCCAGGGAATTTGGGAGAGGCTCAGTCCCCACCCCAGGTGCACAGAACCAGAAACGGGGATCTCTTGGGCGCAGCAGATGCCTCAGCTGTGGCGAGGCAATTGTTTCTCCCACGTGCTTATTTAACCCTTCATTCTAGCACTATTTATCAGGTCCAAGCTACTGTGCTAGTGACTGGCATTGGGCAGACTGTGGAAACAGCCCCGAGACCACCCTGGGACCCCAGAGCCTGGACCGCTGTGACTTTTAAAGCACGGCAAGGAGCTCCAGACAGGGATGCATAAATGAAGAACAAAACCCAAGGGAGAACAGACAAGCTCTGCTGAACCTGAACGGATCAGCGGGTGCCTCAGATCCACTAGAATTCCCAATAAGACATAGACTTGGAGTCCTGATTTCTCCCTGGGCTGCTCTTTGGTGTGTGTTGGGGACACCAGACCTGGGAGCTTCTGCCTTGGAGAGCACACTACACTGGCCTCTCCTATGTCCAGCCTTTCCGTCAGCCCTCCATGTTTCTGCCTCCCAGGGCTGCTATAGCAAGTCACATGAGCTCGGCGGCTCCAAATACAGCAGACCCTTGACTGCTGAACTCAATTCGTTCTCAAGGGCTGGTTGTAACTGAAGTTGGTCAATTGAGGCTCAGACTCCTGTACACACCCTTCAAAGTTTCTCTCCTGCATACAGGCAGATCTCAGTGTCCTTAGACATTGGCCCAGGATTTCTCAGTTAACCCCACATAGGAAAGAATGCTGTAATGTTCCTTCCGGAGCTCTCTAAGGGTTAGATCTGTATCTGAGACCATCCAGAAGCACAAGTGGCCGGCATTCAGGTCATAACTCAGACTTTGGTTGTAAGTTAAAACTAAAATTCCAATCATAACCCAAGTTGTTCAAATGTCAGGCCAGTCGTGATGCGAGGGTCCACTGTAATAGAGATGGACTCTCGCTCAGTTCTGGAGGCAGAAGTGTAAGACTGGTGTGGGCAGCAGGCTCCCTCCGCAGGCCCCCCGGGGAGTCTTCTCATCTCTTCTGGCTCCTGGCGTCTCACTCCTGGCCTGGTCCTCACACAGACTTCCCTCCTGAGGGCATTTATCAGAGGATGTAGGACCCACCAGGATGGGCTCATCTCAAGATCCTCAGATCTACCCGAAAAGACTCTTTTTACAAATCATGGCACGTTCACAGGGTTCATTTGGGGGAGGGCACCCCGGAGCCCACGATAGTCCCCAAAGAGCCCCGAGTCCAGACCCAGAAGGTACAGAATTCACCAATTGCTCCTGGATAAAGGGCCTCGGAGGATTGTCCTTTGGAAACCGACTGTGGGAAGAAGCAAATGTCTGATGATGAGACCAGTGCGCAGGGCAGCAGTCGGGGTCCCTCCCACCCGGGTCCCTGGCGAACCTCCACTCCTGGAGCGCTGGTGTGGCGCAGGAGTGCCACAGCGGTCTGTTCTGACGAGAGCGCTCCCTTGAGACGGTGGCTTCAGTACTTTTTGGAGTCACGGACTACCATTTTCCCTGGCTCTGTCTCTCAGGTTGCTTGGCTATAAAGACCTTTCCATTCCATCCTGGGGAAAGCTCAGCAGAGTCAACTATAAAGCAAACAGCTCTGAGGAGGTGGACGGTTAAGGGTAGACTTTCGGAAGAAACAAGGAACACGAGTCCCACAGCCCGGAGAAGGGAGATTCTCAGCCACGGAATGGGATGAGAGAGAAGGAATGCGAGGTATAAAGATTTGAAGGCCATTTGGAAAATAGGAGGAGAGGAAGTTCCAGCAGCTGGTTCAAATTCGTTCAGGGATACTTTGGAGCCAAGAGTTGGCAGGTGAATTTTCCCACATCATGGTGTGTAAATCCTCAGAACACTAGGCGACCAGCCCTGGGAGCATGGGCCGGTCTCTGAGCACTCGATCCTGCCCCTCCCTGCTCATCCTCGTTTAATGCCTTCCTTGACACGGTCGGTATTATTAGGGAGCATCTTTTCCCTTTTTAATGTCTTTGCTACAGAAAGTGTCAAAGATACATGAAGAGAGAAGAATATAATGAGCCCTTGTTCATCTGCTGGCTGGCTTAGCTCATCTTCCACATGGTGCTAATCTTCCCAGGTTTTATGAGGAGAAAACTGCAGTGTGTGGAGGTTGGTTACACTGCCCAGGGTCATGCAGCTGGCTGGTGGGAGGTGCAGAATTTGTCCCTCAGATGCCTCTTGTTCCTTAGCTGTCACGGTCTGCCTATTCTCCCTCTCCACCAAACCCTACTGTCAGGAAAGGGTCTGCCACTCCACACGACCGAGGCCCCACAGCTCGGCTGTGATTTCAGCATGTGCCCAAGCCTCTGTCGAGAGTGTGGGGTGGGAACTTAGTCCCCAGTGCAGCGGCATGGAGAGGTGGGACCCTGGGAAGCCGAGAGGTCCTGAGGATGCTGCCCTTGAGAATGATTTATGCTGTGACTGTAAGTGGGATGGGTCAGTTATGAAAGGGGCAAGTTGGGCACCTTTTACTCTCTCCCCAGGTGATGGTCTCTGCCATATTAGGTCATAGAGAGAAGGTACTCACAAATGTGGTCCTTTGGTCTTAAAGTTTCCAGTGCCCAGAACTGTAGGAATCAACTTCCATCCTTTCCACATGATGCAGTCTGTCCTATTCCATTACAGCGATGCAAGCAGACTAAGCTAAGCTTTCAGGTGTTACTTTACCTTGCAAGGGCTTTTGTTATGACATTTTTGTGTGTGTGACAGGGTCTTGCTTTGTAGCCCAGGCTGGCCTTGTACTTGAGGCAATCCTTCTGCCTCAGCCCCCCGAGTGCTGGGATTACAGGCATGTGCCACCTCCCATGGCCCCTGTTCTGATTTATATCTAGATGTCTCCTAAAGACTCCTGGGATCACAGGCAGGGCTTTTGGGAGGTGACTGGATTGGGGAATGCCATACCCATTGGTGGATTAGCCTGCAGATGAATCCACAGCAGAATGTGCTATTAGGCAGTGGGGCCCCCGGTGGGAAGAGGGGGGCCCATGGCCGGGAAAGTTTTTCTCCCTCGTTGGCTTCTCTCTTCAAGCTCTGCCTTCTGTTCTCCGTGCCTTGTCCCATGCCATCCTGCCTGGGGGCCTGTCGGCTACGGACTGAGATTCGAGTCAGAGTAAGCCTCTCTTCTAAGTTGTGGCTGTCAGATATTTTGTCCCAGCGATGAGGAAAGTGGCTAAGACGGCTCCATTTCTACTCCATTTAACTCTGCTAAAGCCGCTAATTTAAACAGAACAAATGCAAGTGTCCCATAAGACTGAGAGAAGGGCAGATTTTCAGAGCAGAGTTTGGGCCCTGAGTGCAGGAGATGACACCTTGTGGCCCTCGGTTGCCCTCCTTGGCACTGCTGTACCGGCTGCTGGGGAGGAAGGGAGGCAAGGAGGGTGAGGGCCAGGGCCAGCCTGGCACACAGAGGACCACAACCTGGCGCTCCCAGGGGTCTGGCGATGATGGGCGCTTGTTTCGGAAGCTGAACATCTCACCCCTGTCATCACCGAGGGACGTACCACTCTCCTACCTCAAACAAAGAAACTAACAAAAGGTTTTTAAAAATAGTTTTTCAGTGTTGGGGTTTGAACCCAGGTCCTTTCCTGTGCCTTTTTAAAATTGTTCCATTTTGAGACAGGGTCTCACTAAATCACTAAGTTTCCCATGCTGGGTTCAAACTTGTGATCCTCCTGCCTCAGCCTCCCAGATCAAATTATTTTTGATAGAAAAATCAATATCATGTTTTGGGGGAAAAAAGGCCATCAAATAATTCTTCATCTCCATATGTTGAGAGACTAATAATGAAAGAACATATTTGTGATTCTCAAATAAAGTTTATCTGCCTGAGACACTTGGGAAGGAGCTCAAAAAGCTTTTCCACTAAAGCAATGCACATGCTGCCCACTTTACAA